TGCAATTGTGAAAAGCTTGCAATATCTATACTGTATAACAATTGATAAAGAATTCCAATCTCATAATATAACTTCAAAGACATATTCCAGTTATGGGAAGATAGGAAGTTTATAAGTATCACTTCTTGACTTTTTTCAATTGTAGTCAAATCATTCCCCATAATTCTTAATTAAAAAAAAAAAAAGCTAAGCAAGCTATCACAAAAAGAATAGAGCCAAGCTCTTTCTCTTTTCCCCACTGCTTCCCAAATAATTCCACAACTGTGTACAGTATAAATGATTTTCAATAGTTGGTTAGGATGTTCCAGATCCAGTCATCAAAAAGATAGCTGGTGAAACAGAGATACTACTACATCCATAAAACAGGTACGCAGTCTCATGGAAAAAGAGTGTAGCCTTTGCTTACTTTCAGATAGTTAATGATCTGGGAAGTTGTGGTGCGGGTTTAAGAGCCACCTTCTCCCTTAAAACTTGCTTGTACCCTAAAGAGATATATGGATCTTTGTGAATCAGAGTATACAAAGCATATGACAATAGTTTGTGGGAATTTAGTAACAGCCTCTACCCTTCTCCATGACCAGAGGCAAGACCAGCAATCTAACCGACTCACAATGAAGAATTTGATCTTACCTGTATTTTGTTCACCTTTTTGAAGGCCCAGATAGTAGCAAGCACAAATGAAATGGCCACTGGCAGAAACAGCAGCAGGTGGCAGCTGTCTGGGATGACATTCTGCAGGATTGTCAGCATGGTGCTGGGGCCCAGCTGGAATATCAGCAGCTACTCTCTCAGCCTCTAGGCTAGGAGATCTTAAGAGCTCTCCCACCTGAGGTCATGCTTGCATCACAAATGTCTTTTGCAGTCCATCTTGCTTGCTCAAGGCCTCTCTGATCAGCAGACAACATCAGAATTAACTACATTCAGCCCACTCAGCTTACAAACAGCAAAGACATTGGATGCAAACACATGAGTATAAATACCTAGTACTGCTTATTTATTTGCTTGTTTATTCATTCATTATTCTGACCTCACTTTTTTGCTATAAGCCCCCAAGGCAGAATCACCTCACCCTACACATGGACCCAACTGAGGCAAGAATTTGAAGTAGTTGAGAATGAAACAAATACATATACATACATACATACATACATACATACATACATACATACATACATACATATATATACACTAATTACTTCTAACAAATAAGTGTTTAAAGACCATTTTCAAATTATACTTTTATTAGACCTACTGAAGTTTCACAAGATAGCTGCAAGCTGTTTGATTTCCAAGGATTTTCCCCCTGCAATTCTTATTACTTGAGTCAAAGCAAGGAGATATGAGATGCAGAACCACAAGAGAACGGTATATTGTACTAGATACGTAGATCAGCTTTTCCCAACTTGGTGGAACCAGCATGGCCACACTGACTGGGGATAATGGGAGGGTAGTTTTTTTCTAATAGTGAAATACCCCCCCCCCAAAAAAACAGCACCAACAGAAAGAAAGATAAACAGTGGTTACGTAGTGAGTGAAAAACCCCCTAGATATATTATGGTGATTAAAACAAAATAAACATGATTGAAAAAAGAAAGATAAGTAATTAACAGAAAGAAAGAAAAGATTCATATAGTAACTACTGATAGTGATATACCATTTTAATTAATGTTACTCTGATCAAACGTGTTTTCTATTCTCATTCTTAGAGCACAGAAATGTTTTGAAGATAGGAATATAGTTCAACCTGATATTAATAAGGTCCTTAACTATAATTATATTCTTTCCCAAAATGGTATTTAATGATTTGAAAACAAAATAAGGCTACAGCTGGATATGAGTACTTCATGAGCTAAACTCTTGTCGGCATCTCCTTCTTATGCCAACACAAAATATCTAATAGCCTTCCCTTTTTAAACATTTTAAAGTGGTCCAATAAACATGAAATAATATTTTCTGATGAATAAATTAGTTTTAAATCATAAGAAACATATTTTAAATTTCTTAACACCTGGACCCATTAATTCTCCAAAATTGGATATTCCAGTTCTTCATTCCACAATTCAGATATGTAACTAATACGTTCATTTTATTTTTTGAATTTTTTTATAAAATTGAATTGCTGGTTTCCATTCCAGGACTGCATCTCTGAAGGACTCTTTAAAAAGGAAGTTTTCTCAGAAAACATCTGTATTAAGTTAAAACCTTAGTTAAAGTTGGGAGAATCTAGACATACAAATTCAGGTATAGCCAGTGATGCATCAGTAATTCAATATGAAATAAGGAAATAATTGTTGATTCTCCTTATACTGCTGTCAAAGTAAAATGTGCTTCCTTCTTTTGAGAGAAATGCAGATCTTTGTTTCCAAAAGGCCTGCAGTAAAGAACGTTCTGCTACTTGTACAGCTGAGCTGTCCAACAGTATAAACACAAACAGAACCCTGAAAATTACTTAAATATATATTTTATTTGTCAGATTTGTATCCCAACTTTAGGAGCATAAGGCAGGTTACCTAACACTCCATCCTCCAGTTTTTCTGCAAACAGCAACTCAAGTATGGTAGGTTGAGCTAAGAGAGAATGGCTGGCCCAAGTCATCTACAGTCTTTCATGGCTGAGGATGCACACAGACCTAGATCTCTCTAGTCCCAGTCCAGTATCTTAACCAGTACACCACAATGACTCTCAAAAAATGATCAGACTTTCTCAGATTTGCAGTCATTTTCTCAGCCTTACTTAGAGATGACAGGGATCCAACTTGTAAAATTCTGTGGAGTCCTTGGGGTTCTCTGGGCTTGGTTGTTTTCTTGCAAATGTTTC